TCCTTCCTCCCGCCTCCCACATCCTCCTACCCTCTCTTCGCCGCCACTGGGGGGCTGCGATCTGCGACGCCGTCGCCACTTTCGACGGCTGCTGGTGGGTCCGGCGGAATGAGGCACCGCGCAGACCTGAGCGGGACCTCGCCGTCCGCGGGATGCTGCGATCTGCAACGCTGTCGCCACTTTCGACGGCTGCTGGCGGGTCTAGCGGAGAGAGGCACCGCGCAGACCTGAGCGGAACCTCGCCGTCCCTGGGGGGCTGCGATCTGCGATGGGTCCAGCGGAGTGAGGCACCGCGCAGACCTGAGCGGGACCTCGCCGTCCCTGGGGGGCTGCTTTCGCGAAGTGTTGGTGGGTCCAGCGGAGTGGGGCACCGCGCAGACCTGAGCGGAACCTCGCCGTCCCTGAGCGGCTGCTTTCGCGAAGTGTTGGTGGGTCCAGCGGAGTGAGGCACCGCGCAGACCTGAGCGTGACCTCCGCGACCGACCTCGTCGCGCCCGTCGCCCGTCGCCCGAACCGGTGGGCCGCCTGCCCGCGTCGTCGGGCCTCGACGCAGATGGCCGCAAGCTCAACCCTTTGGAACAGAACCCTCGAAGCCTCGTCCAGCCGCGCCCTCGTCGGCGCCACTGCTGCAGTCACCCCCCCGAGTGGCCCGCGGGCCTGCGGGCCTGCTGGCCAGGCAGCGAGGGCGACGGAGACGGCGACGACGGCGCCCCGCGCCAGCAGCCTCCCCCGCGACCCGCGCCCGCGACCCGCGCCCGGGACCCGCGCCCGCCGGGCCTTGCGGCAGGCCAGCGCGAGCGCGGACAGGGGGGGGGCGGGCGAGCTCGCGCGCGGAAGGGCGGGCAGGCGGGCGGGCGGGAGGGCGGGCGAGCGGGCTCGCACGCACGCTCGCGCGGGCGGGCCTGCGCGCGGCGCGCGGACTGGCACGCGGGGAAGGGCGAGCGTATGGGCGGGCGGGCGGGGGCGGACGGGCGCCTGCGCTCGCGCGCGCGCGGGACCAGGCAAGTGGGCGAGCGGGATGGCGGGCGGGCGCGCGGGCGGGCGGGCGATTACGGGGGCGGGCGGGCGGGAGGCGGGCGCGCGCGCTCTGGCGGGCAGGCGCCGTTGCCCGCGCGCGCGCGCGAGCATCCAAGCGGGCGACTGCCCCCCAACTGACGTCGCTCCTCTCCGCCCCTCTCCTGGATGAGCCGTCGGGCGCAAAATGAGAAAGTCGCCGCCCCCCACCCGCTTCCAGGATGCAGCGGGAGCCACAAAATATGAAAACGCCAAGTACCCCCCCTCCCTAGATGAAGCGCTGCACGTGAAATAAAGATGCCGCGCATGCTGAAGCCCGAGCGGCACGTCGACCAAATATTGCACTAACGCGCAACGCTTTTGTATCTGGCGCATCGCGCTTGCACGCGGCATTCGCCTGCCCCTCCCGTCTTGAAACAGAATGCGGCCCAAGCAAGCCGAAACCGCTCGGCGCGCAACGTTGCGTCGGGGGCCCGCCGGGATAGGGGGGCGCCAGCTCGCCACGCGCACAAGATCAAGACCTGGGCAACATAGGCGAGGAGCAACGCAGCATAAATGCCAATGCGCGGCAAAGTGGCAAGGCATGTGTGTCGCTGCATGGCGCGGTACGAGGTGGTCAGGGTACGACGTCTGCGCAATGAGATGTCAGTCAACCACTACCTAATGCAATACGAAGCTAGGCACATGGCATTCGGGACTGCACTCCATAAGGTCCTTGTGCACTGCGTATCTTCTTGAACTCTAGAAGATTAGAAACGAACGCACCATTGGAAAAAGAACACTAAAGGAAAAAAAACAAAAACATAAAAAAAAAAAAAAAAAAAAACAAAAAAACAAAAAAAAAAAAAAAAAAAAAAAAAAAAAAAAAAAAAAAAAAAACAAACACGCCAGGGGCACATGTTCACCACGTTGCGCGGGGCGCGGGCACGAAACGGAAGATGACGACGAGGACGAAGACGACGAACACGACGACGACGACGACGACGACGACGACGACGACGACGACGACGACGACGACGACGACCGCGACGACGACGACGATGACAGCGACCAGAGGCTCGCAAGGGAAGGGCATGAAAACAAACTTCGGAGAGGTTCCTGAAACGTACTCGAGAGGCTCCTGCGAAGCTCCTGAGAGGCCCCAAGCTCTTGAAAGGCTACAGGACAGTGTTTAATACATATGATGTTTAAAAGTATAGGATTTGTATTACATTATCAATGTATGAATAAATCGATGCATGAACTCATCGATGTTTTTAATACTAAATTCCTGCATTATTAATACATGAGCCGCACGCGGAGCATGTATTAAAAACGGCACTGTATCGAGAGGGTTGTAAGAAAGTACGGCAAAGTGGCCCACGGGGCTCTGACAGGCCCCTGGGAATACCATAAAAACGGCTGCACAGCTCCCAAGGACCCCCATGGCACGCCCCCGAGAGGTTCCTGAAAGGCTTCGGCGAGGCTCCCGTGGAGCCCCTGCGAGCCGCCCTGAGGGCTCGCCGACACGCTCCTGAACCCCCCCCCGTGAGGCTCCCTGAGACGTTCCTGGGAGGCTGAGGAGCGCATGCGAGGCTCCCAGGGAGCTCATGATGGAAATCTCCGGGGAGGCTCCCGAGATGCTCCTGAAGGCGCCCCATGTGGCCGAATCCAACCTCCGACGTCTGCCTTCGGCGGCCGTGCACCTCCTCCGAATGTTGCCCTTCGACGACCCGAATGTCGTTCCGAGTGATGGTCGTGGCCGCCCCGTTCGCCCTCCGACTCAAAAAGTTCCGCGCGAAACCAAAACAAAAAATCACCGCCGATTCGGCGACACCTTGGTGGCACGTCTCGGGGGTTTGACCGGCGCGTGCGGGTGGCTCCTGGGTCGTGGGCCCCACGGCCCGCGAGCCCAGGCACCTCGAGACAGGGGGCCCACAACTTCCTGGGCTCTTCGTTCGAGGGCACCCGGCTTTGTGGACCTTCACCCAAGGGCGCGCGACTTCCTGGGGCGCCCTGTCACGGCCGCCCCCCCCAGGGAGGTGGGGAAAGGAACAGGAGAGGGGAGGAGGAGCAGCAGCAGCAGAGAAGGAGAAGAAGGAGGAGAAGTAGGAGGAGAGGAGGAGGAGGAGGAGGAGGAGGAGGAGGAGGAGGACGACGAGGAGGAGGAGGAGGAGGAGGAGGAGGAGGAGGAGGGGGAGGAGGAGGCGCAGGCGCAAGAGCAGCAGAATGCCCAACTGGGCAGCTTTATGTAAGGCCTACCCCCACTGGTCACAATCCCGGGTAGGAGGAGCCCAGGACAGCGGCGGGGGTTTTCAGCACCTGCCAGCGGGCAAACCCTACGGGTGAACCCCTGCCAGCCCGAGTCGATGGGCGATGGGCGGCGGAGGCGGGGCCTAGAGCCGGTCGGCTGGGCAGCCACGCGTGGACCTATACCCCCACAGGTCGGATTTCTGAAAGCTGGCTGGGGGGTCAAAATTTGAAGGTTGTCTGCACCCACGTGTGAACCCAAGCGGGGGTGTCCGCTACCCCAGCGTCGAGTGGATACGTTGGGGTGAGTCGGAGCTGGGCGACTTGAGACAACGGGGACTCAGAATCGATCTCCAGACCCCACCCATGTCCAAACGCACCAATTTTCCGATCTGCGTCCAGCCGTGGCGACGAGGGGGCCCCCTAAAGACAAACTACCGTTATCTAAACTAGCCCTCATCTGAGAACCCGGGGGGGGTCCGATACCCCAGCGTCGATTGGACCCGCAGGGGTAGAGCTCACAAGTTGCCGCGATCGGAGGCCCACCTCGCGGACGCCGCCTGCCAGGTTCGGGCTGCCCCAAGAGCCGCATGTACACCGACGCGGGCCCGCGGACGGCCTCAGATTGAACGCAGAAGGACATACTAGTAATGTGTGCTGATGTTGGAGGCGCATTTCCAACACGAACACATAGCACGCACACACACACACACACACACACACACACACACACACACACACGCGCAGACATCTTGTAGCATATCGTTTCCCGAGCGGTTTGGCCAGAACGCACCCGCCACGGGGCTTGTACTGTAAGATTGCTGAGCGTGCGCGTCGCCCCTGCGGAACCGGCGCGTCCATAGCACGAGTATGTGGTTGGACCGTGCCGGTTAGAAGGAACAACTGCAGAGATTAGAGGCCTCCTAGATGGGGTCGGAGTAGATGGGGTCGGAGGATGGCCCCGCATCGCCGATACATCGGCGATGCATCGGCGATGTATGGGCGATGCATCAGCGATGCACCGGCGATGCATCGTCGACGTGGGCGAGGCATCGGCGACGTCGACGTGGAGCAAATCGGGCTGCACATCGAGCCGCATCGGCGATGCATCGACGATGCGGCGCGATCCTCCGACCCCATCTACTCCGACCCCATCTAGGAGGCCTAGAGAGATTCAGTGTAAACTTTCGGAGCTCCGCGCGGGACTCTTGGACCGGCGCTGGGCCCCCCGGCCGGATGGGAGGACGTCAACTGTACACCTACACCGACCCTGGCCATGCCCGTCCTGGGCCCAGGATCGGTGTGCACGACCTGCTGTCCCGGCCAGGAAGGCATACAGTCGGGGCGTTGGCCTAAGGAACCCTAAGCAAGGAACGAGGCTCCTTTTTTCCATAAGTTAAGCTTCGATGTCCTATCGAAGACATAAGGAAAGCCTGAGGCAAGCTGTGAAACACTTAAGGAACGCGGAGCCCCTCCCCAACGAAAAGGGTTCCTTCTTCAGGGCCCCGACTGTACAAACAGATCCTGGGCCCAGGATCAGCCTGGCCAGGATCGGTGTTGGTGTTTCGTTTGCGTCCCCCGGCCGGAGGCGCCGCCAGGGGGGCCCAGCGCCACTCCAAGAAATCCGCGCGGAGCTCCGACAGTTTACGCTGATGTGCCGTCTCTTGCTCCTCGAGGCCTGCGCGAGGGCCCAGACCAGCGCGTCCAGCGGCGTGCAGCCGCCCGTGGGCGTGTCCACCAGCAACGACGGCAGGAGCTCATTGGTAATTTCGCGGGCCCCGCCCTCGATGCCCCGAAGCAGCACGCCCGCGCAGGACTCCGCGCCGGAGGCGCGGCTGGTGGGCCAACCCGCAGAGGAGTGCCAGGCGCAGGCCCTGCGATAGAGCGACGGGGTCTGTACAGATCCTGAAGGGGCCCAGGGAATCCAAGGATTCCCAGTAGTTTCCAGTTGTTCTGGATGTTCGTCTTCCCCTCCGCTTCTCATATGTTCCATATTTTCATTGGCATCGACGACTATTTGTGTCTGCGCATTTCACAACCATCCTGTGGTGTTGGGTCCTCGTTTTGAAGAGACAGCGTCCTGCGTCCCACCTTCCTCCTCCCCCTCCTCCCTCCTCCTCCTTCTGCCCTCCACATGTATGTGTATCGGCGCACCCCTCACACAGTTCGTGGCCCCATAGGGAAGCTCCACCGAAGGCCACGTGGCACGGTCCACATGGCGACGCCGCCTGATTTGATTTGGGCGCACCCCACACAATGTTCGTGGCCCCATAGGGAGCTCCACCGAAGGACCCCGTGGCAGGGTCCACAGGGCGGCGCCACCCCATTTTGGCGCACCCCACAACACTGTTTTCACAACTGCGCATGGTTGGGTCCTTCGCCATGATAACTTTGTGGGCCTCCTGGGAGGCCCTCGTCGCCACGGCTGGCTTCGCCCCGGAATCCTGGCCAAAGCGCGCCCCGGGAGAGGCCAGGGAAGTAACTGCACGGGTACCTGTTGGCTTACCCAATCCTGGCCAGGCCAAGAGGGCGTAGGCGCCGCCATGTGGACTCTGCCACAGGGTCCTTCAATTGAGCTCCATATGGGGCTGGGGCGGCGCCACCATGTGGACCCTGCCACGGGGGCCTCTGGCTGGATTCCATATGGGGCCACGAACCGTGTGAGGGGTGCGCCACAATTGGGCGGCGCAGCCATGTGGACCCTGCACTTGAGCCTTCGGTGGAGCTCCCTATGGGGCCACGAACCGTGTGAGGGATGCGCCGAAACACAGACATGTGGAGGGCAGAAGGAGGAGGAGGAGGAGGAGGACGAGGAGGAGGAGAAGGAGGAGGAAGAGGAGGAGGAGGGGGAGGAAGGGCCTTCGGTGGAGCTCCCTATGGGACCACGAACCGTGTGAAGGGTGCACCAAAAATGGGGCGGCGCCGCCATGTGGACCCAGCCACGAGGTCCTTCGGTGGAACTCCCGATGGGCCCACGGACCGTTCGAGGGGTGCGCCACATTGGAGCAGCGCCGCTATGCGGACCCTGCCACGGGGGCCTCTGGTGAACCCACGAGCCGTGTGAGGAGTGCGCCCAAATCGGGCGGCGCTGGCATGTGGACCCTGCTACTTGGGCCTTCGGCGGAGCTCCCTATGGGGCCACGAGCCGCGTGAGCGGTGCGCCAAAATGGAGCGGTGTCGCCATCTGGACCCTGCTATTTGGGCCTCCGGTGGAGCTCCATATGGGGCCACGAACCGTGTGAGGGGTGCGCCACAATTGGGCGGCGCCACCATGTGGACCCTGCTACTTGGGCCTTCGGTGGAGCTCCCTACGGGGCCACGAAGCTTTACACTGGGTGCGCCGAAACACAAACATGCGGAGGGCAGAAGCAAGGGATGGGAGGAGGGAGGAGGGGGAGGAGGAAGGTGGGACGCGGGGCGCTGTCTCTTCAAAACGAGGACCCAACACCACAGGATTGTTCGGGAAACCATTCTTAATAAGCAAACGCACCCCAAGGACCGTTCAGCAAGCGCCGATTATCGGGGTCGGGGTGGCTTGTCCTCCCTTGAGGTTAAGGGCCCTGAGACGAAGCCAGGACAGGGACAAAATCGGGCAGGAACGAAGCGGGGATCTCTGAGATCTAGCGGCTCTGGAAGATGCATCATGCGCCGCGGCCTTCTCGAAGCGTCTTGGAACGCTCTGGGAGCGTTCCGCATCGCTCTGAAACGATCCCTGTCCAAGCCCCGCCCGAGGCCCGCCGCCAGCGAATGAGCTTCATGAGAAACCGGGCAAAACGGGGCCAGCACAGACGGTCGCACGACCGACCGCGCATCGCTGGCCCAGGCAGGCCACCGATGTCCTGAATGGGGGTAAAGGGGGGGATTGGATTTGTGGTCTGCCCTCCATGCGAGCATCTGCTCTCGGCTATGGTCTGGGAGAAAGCCTGGCCGCTGCTTCGGCGCCACCGCCTGCAAACAGGGAAACCGCAGCAAGGCGCGGCGTTGGCGACAGAGAGCAGCGGCGAGGCTAATCTGACGAATCAGCATGTGATGTGAAGAGGGGGGAGCCGGAGCAAGAGCAGCTGCTGGAGGGCCCCACGAGGTCCCAGGAGGAGGCCCAGGGGGACTGCTGGGCATAGTTGGCCTTGGAGGGCCTGCATGGCTGCCCCTGTCGGGTGGCCGACCGACCCCGACGGCTGGAGATGTCCGAGCACTGCGCCTCGATCTTCTGCGTGACCAGCGGCATGTTCTCCTGCTCGGACGCGAAGCCTGGAGTTCTAATGCTGCCAGGGTAGAACACGGACAGGTGGACCCCATGCCTCTCGAGGGCCTCACAGATGGGGTCAGAGCAGATGGGGTCGGAAGAGCGCACCGCATGGTCGACGCATCACCGATGCATCCGCGATGCATCGGCGACGTCAGCGTGGGCAAAATTGAACTCCACTTCAGGCCGCATCGCCGATGCGTGGGCGATGCGGCGCGATCCTCCATCACCGTCTTCTCTGACCCTATCTGGGAAGCCTAGAGCCTTCGGAACTCCTCGTAGGCTCCCGCCAGGAAGCCGCGGTGCCCGAATTTGGTTGCAGAGTAAATGGAATAGCCGGGGCACGTGGCCAGGCCGGCAACGGAAGACACGATGCTGACGCGGCCACCCTGCCCGTCCGAGGCCATGAGCTGGGCCGCGGCGATGACGCAGCGGAGCCCCCCGACCAGGTTGACCGAGACCTGGTTCTCCAGGGTGGCCTGGACCTCGCTGAGCGGCACACCAAACAGGAGCATCCCATTCCCGGTCCCCGCGTTGGCCACGAAGACGTCCACGCGGCCGAATGTCCGCGATGCCTGCCGGAGCATCTCCGCCACCTGCTCACACGAGGCGGTGCTGACGTCCAAGACAGCGTGCTGGACGCGGTCCCCGAAGCCCTCGCCAGCGCTTGCGATGTCCGCGCACGCCTCTGGAAGACGCCAACTGTCCACCTGTACCGATCTTGGCAGTGCCTACGGTGAGGGCGCTGGAAATGAAACCCTTGGACCAAGAATCCAGGCTTTGAAAGCCGGGGGAACACTAATTGAGGCTTGGACATGGATACCACCGCCGCCCTGATCAGAGAAGGAATCCTCAAGGGTCTGAAACCTCCTAAGCACGTTCCTTAACCAACGCCCACCGTAGATACGCCCCGTCTGCACCAGGAATACCAGGAAGCGGCATCCAACGATCCTGGGCCCGCGAGGGACCTGGCAAATGCACTTGCGAAGTGCAGGGTCAAGGTCCCGTATAATCGTGCATTTGAACTATGCAAAACAATCGGGCGTCATCACAGGAACAAATGCAGCCGATTCGGGCCACCAACTCCAGGATCTCTGCCACGAAGGATGGGCCGAAAAGGCAGGGGCCACGATGAACCACTGCATCTTCGCTAAAGACTTTGACTGCACGGTTGTGTGTAGAGGATACCCACCCTTCGACGTCACGACCATTGCGCGACGTGGGCCCCCGGGCCCCTCGATCCCTCCCAGGGGCTGGAATTTCTTATCCCGAGTCGTTTTTGAGGGCTTCCTGACCCGAAACGCGCCTCGTGAGGCCGAAGACATGGAACAACGGGCCGTCGCGATGCTGCTGATCGTGACGTCAAATGGCTGCGTTTCCTGAAGCCCAAAAAATAATCGAAGTCCTCGAAGACAGGGAAAAAACTAAAACACCCAAAAACCTCGATGGTACAGTCGGACCAATGGTGAGTACGCAAAAGAAGGCTGCAAGGGCATGGGGCAACCAAGTTGCAAACTGAAACAAGGTTTTTTGCTTCGAAAGCATAAGTTGGATTTGCACTAGACTGCAAACGATGGCAGGGAAAACAAGAATCCAAAACTAAGTCCACGATTTCCTCGAATGCGACTGCCTCAGCGTTAAATGAGGATATTTTCGGGGAGACGTCAAGGTGAAATTAGGGCCAGAGGTGGGGTTGGAGCACCCCAAAGACGTGCACGATCGACCCTACCTGCCTCCGCTGGCAGTCTGTTCTAAACAACACCTCCACATCCTCGTCATCACCACCACAACCACCATCACCATTACCATCATCATCACCATCACCATCACCATCACCATCAGCATCATCCTCATCATCATCGTCGTCATCATCAGCATCAGCATCATCATCATCACCACGATCAGCATCATAACCACAACGATCATCACCAGCATCATCACCATCACTAGCAACAGCACCATCACCACCACCACCACTGTCACCATCACCATCACCATCACTATCATCATCGTCATCATCATCAGCATCAGCATCAACATAACCCTCATCATCGTCACCACCATCACAACCACCATCACCATCACCATCAGCATCATCAACATCATCATGATATCTCTGTCACCTCTGGTGACTCTGCCATCCCTGATACACCAAAACCGACAAGCAGCCCCCCAACGCCCCGGCATCCCCAGGGTTTGGGACAATGTCTAGGCGCACCTCACACGACAAATCCTGCCCGAAAACCCACCCGACCCCCACCTCACGCCCCAGCATCCTCAGGGCTCTGGATTATGTTTGTGGAACACCTCACACGACACATCCTGCCCAGAAACCGACCGACCAGCGCACATCCTGTCCCGAAACCGACCAGCCCGTACGCCCTGGCATCCCTAGGGATCTGGATAGTGCTTCGCTGAAACACCCCACACGAAAAGTCCTGCCCCGAAACCGACCGACCCCTACGCCCTGGTATCCCCAGGGTTTGGGAGCACCCCACACCACAAATCCTGCCCAGAAACTGACCTCCCCCCCCCTCCCGTACGCCCTAGCATCCCCAGGGTTCTGAATAATCCCACCAGCCTTCTGGGTGTAGGTGGTCTTGGGAGTTTCCTCTTCGCACCCCCTTTTTCCCCTTTCGGGGAGGGGCTTATCACTGTTCCATGTAAATATACACCCCCTCCCCCAGGCGACCGGCGGCCAACCAGGAATCATGCTCCCCCCCCACCATCCCTGTCAAAAAGCAATACAAAACGCATTCCGCTTCCACATTTGGAGCATGCGAGGCCAACCCGATGCGGCCCGATGCGGCCCCCCCACCATCCCTGTCAAAAAAACAATACAAAATACACTTTGGGGCAAAATCCGCCGACATTTTCGGCGTGTGACAGGGGCTGTTCCGTCGCCATCGCCGTCGCTGCCGCCGTCGCGTCGCCGCCGCCATCACGTCCCCGCCTTCCCCTGAGTCCATCGCCGCTTACCCCCTTTCCTTGGGCCCTCTCTCTCAAGCACGCCAGCCAAACCGAAATACACCAGCCCATCCACAGCGAAATTGTCATCGAGTCGAAGGGAAGCCCCTTCCCTTTGATCCCTTCCCCGCGGGGGGGGGTCCCGGGGAAGGGTCCCAGGGGGTGGTCAGAATACCACCCTCCCAGGCCGTGTCGGGAGCGCACAACGAAAACCCAATTTCCGTCGAGGGCCGAGGCCTCCAGGGTCGGCGGCACTGGCCGTAAGGCATTAGCAATCTTGAGTCATGTTCGTGAGGCCCGCGAGCACTTTGTATTGTTTTTGACGGGGACGGCGGGGGTGTCAGCATATTGCCTGCTGCGCGCAGGGCTACCATCCCTAACAACAAACCTCGCGGCTAAATCTGGATAGTGCGCGGCCACCCCGCGATCGCTTCCACGGAGATTGACAGGCAGGGAAGAAGAAAAGCGACCCACCCGCAAGCGCTGACTATTTCGAGCCTAGCGCCGCGAGTGCCAGTCATTCAGTCGGCGCCGAGCTGCACTCAGCAAGGCGCTGCGGGTAGGAGTGAGCTAGACGACTTGCTATCTAGGGGTGTCTTGACAACCTCCCGCCTGCCCCCTCCCCTGGACCTGGACGGGGCGCCCCGTAAGGTGTCCGAGGGTACCGCTTCGCCCAAGATGGCTCCAAGAGGGCCTCAGAGTGCTCAAGATGACCTCCAAGATGGCTCAAGATAGCCCAAGATGCCTCAAGTCGGCTCCCAAAATGATCCAAGAGGCCTCGAGAACGCTCCAAGACGGCTCCAAGGCGCCTCCGGGACCTCCAAGGAGGCCCGGCCCCCGACAAGCCAAAATCCTTCAAAGACCTACAGATAATTAACGAGTTGTGCTTTATCGCCTGTTCGCGTCCGATGGCCATCCGAAGCCTCAAGATGGCTACAAGATGGTCCAGGAGAGCCCCAGGAGAGGCCCAAGAGAGCCCGAAGACGGCCCCAAGAGCGCGCAAGAGCGCCCCAAGAGCGCTCAAAGAGGTGTCCAGGAGGCGATGTTCGGTGCTCCCGAGGGGGGAGGCTAATCGGAGCTCCCCTCTTTTTGGATCGATGTCCTCCAAGATGGCCCCAACAGCGCCTCTGAAGCTCCCGAGAGCGCCCCGAGAGGGCCCCAAGATGCGCCTAGACGGCCCCCAGAGGCCTCCAAGAGGCTCCCAAGAGGCTCCCAAGAGAACCCATACGAGGCCTCAAGAGGATCCCCGAAGTACCCAACTCTCCCTCCTTTTCCTCCGTCTCCTCCTTCTCGTCCTCCTCCTTCTCCTCCTTCTCCTCTCGCCATGCATGCTCTTGACCGTGACGCCAGACTATGCGAGCAGAGTTTTTTGGATTCCACCATCTTGCTTCCTACCAATAGCGGAGGGGTGCTTGTGAAGCTTGGGCAAGGTGGGACAATGGGGGATCCATTTACTGTCGCGATGTTCGTTTCGACCTTTAAGAGACCAGTGTTGAATCGAGGATATGACTTAATGCAATGGAATAAACCTTATGGGAATCTACGAGCTAAATGGGGAGGGCTCCAGGCGGATCTCTCCCTCCTCAAATACGCCGATGACCTCAATAAAACCGTGCTTGCAGGCAAGGGCAGCACCCTGAGGGAGTTTATCACAAAGTTACAGCGAGTCGATTCCTCTCTCAACTCGAAGTTGCCGTGTTTCGGGCACGGTCAGAACATGCCCAAACAAGAGTTTCTGTTTCACTTCAGCACGCACGCACACTCGAACAAGCAGTTCTTGCGTGATAACCAGAAGATCCTGCAGGGCCGGTTGCAGGATGATGCCAGGTACCTCGGTCCCCACATTGTGCTCAGGGACTCGGCTGCGTCGAAGTCGGTCGTCGCATTGTGGCTTCTCGGGCTTCGTTTCACAGCTTGGGCGGGGTCTGGTCATTGGACTTACCTAAGCGATGGAAGCGGGCTTTACGAATTGGGTTTGCCCAGAATTCAATCCTCAGCGGGATGGAATCGTGGGTTTTGAAGCGCACGGATCATGATCGCCTGGACCGGGGGCTAGCCGCTCTAGGACGTATTGCCATGATGGGAAAGGCTTCCAGCGCTTCTACAGTCGAGAAGGGCGATCACATTCGTTGTCTATCAACGCAGCAGGTTTCTATTACTGGCAATTGGCAACTAGTTCTGTTGAACTTCGCCTTCGGCGCGTTCGCATGTACCAGGCTTGGGCACGAAAGCCACAGGAGAACTCCCAGGTGCTTTGCAGTCTTTTTGGGACTACGCCAATAGACAGGTTTCGACCTCAACTGCTTAGAGGCCAACCCACACAATATTATTCCCCTTGGGTGGTCCAGGTCAAAGAGGATTTCAAGGAGGTGGGGCGCATTCTGGCTAGCGAAGTGGTGGAAGTAGCCAGGGACCTTAGGATTTTGAAGGATGAGGAGCGGGCTTCTGAATTCGTGCAGATCGATGTCACGGAGGTCCGATCCCGTCTCTTCTATACTTGTATTCCCCCACCGGGTCAAACTCAGGAGGGTGAAACGCAACGTCAGGGAGCCATTGGGCAGGAGGACGAGGTGGATGGTATTGAACGTCCGTATGTTTGTGGCCTGAAGACAAAGGAAGGGGCATGTACGGCGGCCTTTACGACTCGAAGGGAGCTCATATCTACCTCAGGCAAGTCCATAACTTGAGGAACCAGTGCCACGTCCTCATCCCGACCAAC